TCTTATCACTAGAAAAAAAAATTTAGAATACATTAGAGGTTTTACTACCTTTCAGTGAATTTATATCACTTGTGATTTTTTTCTCTTTATTATATTTTCAAATTCATTACTGGAAAAAAGAAAATTTAGAATACAATATCTGATGCAAGATAAATTTCTTATAGGAAATCAAATGCGATACAAGTTTACAACTTCCCTGCACCGAGCCCTTAACAACTATTCAAGAATAAATACGATGACCCACTTATTTATTTGTCAGCTTGGATAGGAAGTAATAATGAAAGTAAAGTGATGTGTAAAACGTGGATCAAAAGAAATTATAAACTATATAAATTATTATATATAACTTCACTCAATACAACGCTCATTACATATTTTTTCTTTTTAATATATAGCACAAATAATTGTTTTTTTTAACAAAATCCTTTTTTATAAAAAAAAACTTCAATTAAAAAAAAAGAAAAAAAAATATAAAACATATCAATTTAGTTTAAAATTATCCAACCATCTTAAAACAATTCAATTTATATGTTTGAATTTACATAAGAAGTTTGTGCATATAATATTATTGATAATAGATAAATAATACGAAATATACAAACTCACACATACAACTTAATGTGCAATTTAATGATGTTGATATGAAGGTGACAACTCTAATGTTCATCGTATAGTGAATGCAACTCTATACATATGTGTATGGTCAAGATCTTGTAAAATGCAAGACATTGGTGTTTGAAAAGTCTTCAATTCCAATTTTGTTGTTTTGTGGAGAAATTCTACACATAAATTTTCTGCTACTTGCCCCTTGATGATGTGGACAATAAATATGCTGTAGTTGACACCTTAGTCAAGGTCTTTGCAGAGTAGGACATTTAATTAAGCGCTATAACGTAGTTGACACTCTAGTTAAGGTCTTTGTCTTATAGTGAAATCTCATTCTAAAACCTATACAACAAAAGATCATAATGTTAAGCTTAACTATCTTAAATCATTGTAATATTGATGCTACAAAATTGTTGTTGATACTGTATGAAGAGAAAATACTCATATATAGTTCTACAAGTTTCTGGGGAAAGTATTTCGAAATCAGATCACATTCAAATTACATTATGATTCCAGGAAATCATACTTATAATTTTGATAGCCAAATATGTTGGGGCATGAAAAATTTCCCCTTCTACAGAAGATGAGAATCTAAATGTTAAGATTTAAGTTGGCACACGTGAGGTAGCATAGTTAGTTAAGAATTAGTTATGCTGAGCTGTAGTTAGTTAAGTCGTTAGTTAGTAGTTATAAGTTTATGTATGTATATATAGCAATGTAATAGATTCTTCAATTAATGAAATTCATTCTTTACATTACTCTTTCTCGAATTCTCTCCTGGTTTCCTTCTTTTCAATTCACTTGCCCCAAATTAACATGGCATCAGAGTAAGGTTTTAGGGCTTGAAGAATCTGAGAATTTGCAGAAATTCAATCAAGTTTACTCTGTTCATCAACCTTTTCTTTTCTGGGCTTCATTTACTTGAAGATCCTTTTTTGATCTCTTTTTCTTCGATCAAGAAATTATCACTTTACTTCAATCAAAATGGTTGCTGCTACTAACACAGCTGATGGAGAAATGTTGTCTTCTTCAAATAATTCAAATGATCAATCAAGTTCATCAATTGACTTTAGTCATCCACTTTATCTGCATCCTCTGACACTCCAGGTGCTGTTCTTGTTTCTTTTCAATTGATTGATATGGATAATTACTCGTTATGGAGCAGATCTATGAGAATAGCACTATTAACTAAAAATAAAATTGGATTTATTGATGGAACTTGCACAAAGAACAGTTTTCCAATTAGCTTACACAATCAGTGGGATAGGTGTAATGCTATAGTTCTTTCCTGGATCATGAATTCAGTAACAAAAGAACTTCTAAGTGGCATTGTTTATGCTTCAAGTGCAAATTTGGTGTGGAAAGACTTAAAGGAAAGATTTGATAAAATGAATGGATCTAGAGTTTTTCAGTTACATAGAGAAATTGTGACCTTAGTGCAAGGAACTTCATCTATTTCCACTTATTTTTCTAAACTGAAACTGTTATGGGATGAGTATTCGTCTATTGTCCAACTTCCCTCATGTGAGTGCTCTATGTCAAAGATTTATGTAGATCACAGGCAGAATCAAAAGCTGCTCCAATTCTTGATGGGTTTAAATGAATCTTTCTTGCATGCTAGAAGTCAAATTCTCAAGATGCAACCCTTGCCATTAGTTAACCAAGCCTATTATATGCTTATTACTGAAGAAAGTCAGAGGAATTTAACCACTGCTGCTATTGTTGAGTCCTCATCTGAGCCAACAGTTTTCTATTCATCATCAAACCAGCAATCAGCTAAACCTAAGAAAAATTGGAATATAATTTGTGAGCATAGTCATGTGAGAGGACACAAAAAGGGTAGCTGTTACAAGCTCATTGGCTACCCTGCTGATTTTAAATTCACTAGAAGAAAGAATTTTACTCAGTCTTTAGCAAGTAATGTTACCACTGTTGAATCATCCGATCACAGTAATTATGTAGCCACTCCAAATAGCACTTAAGCAGCTCTAATTTTCTCTAAAGAACAGTATGCAGACATATTGAAATTGCTTCAAAAGGAACCTGCATTACCGCCAAGTGATGCACATGTCTATGTGGTAGGTATTCACTCTTATTTTTCATCTTTAGATCATGGAATCTGTTGGATATTAGATACAGGTGCTAGTCACCATATGACACCTTCTTTAAACACCCCCAACAACTTGATGGGGACAATTTCTCCTTCTACAGTTAGGCTACCTAATGGACATCACTCAACTGTGACACATATAGGATCTTGTCGCATTGGTCCAGATCAGAAACTGACTAATGTGTTATTTGTGCCAGATTTCAAGTTTAATTTGATCTCTATATCAAAGCTCACCAAAGACTTATCTTGCTTTGTTAGTTTCTATCTTGATTTTTGCATATTTCAAGGCCTCTCCAATGGCAAAATACTAGGGATTGGTAAAGAATCAGAGGGCCTCTACTTCTTCATGTTTTCTCATGCCTCAATGGCTAATACTTTTGCCTTGAATAATGTTTTGCCTGTTTCTTGTTTAGCTTCTGTAAGCCAGCTTTGGCATAAACGTCTTAGCCATGTGCCACATGCAAAACTAAAATATTTTTCTAGAATAAAATCTTCTATTTCTAATGTTGATTCTCATTGTGACATTTGTCCTCTTGCCAAACATGTAAGACAGCCTTTTCCTATCAGTACCATAACAGCTTCTGCTTGTTTTCATTTGCTACATATGGATGTGTGGGGACCCTATCATACCCCTACACATAATCATCATAAATTCTTCCTTACAATAGTTGATGATCACTCTCGGATTATTTGGGTTTTTCTCATGACACACAAGCATGAAGTTATAGTCCATCTTAAAAGTTTTCTTACTCTTATCAAGAACTAGTTTTCAGCTTGCGTCAAATACATTCGAACAGATAATGGCTTAGAATTTCTCAACTCTCAATGTACTGCACTCTTCACTTCTCTTAGGATTATCCACTAAAGAACTTGTGTCTACACTCCCCATCAGAATGGGATAGTAGAAAGGAAGCATAGGCATTTGCTTAGTGTTGCTAGCGCCTTGAGATTTTAGGCCTCTATTCCAATTAAATATTGGGGAGAATGCATACTCACAGCTTACGATATAATTAATAGAATTCCTACTGATGTGCTCCAGGGCAGTTCACCTTATGAAATTCTATTTGGTTCTCCTCATTCTATTGATCATTTCAAGGTTTTTGGGTGCTTAGCATATGCTTCTACTGTGAGTTCCAGAGATAAGTTTGGATTCAAGGCTGTGCCATCAGTTTTCATGGGATACTCTTCAACACAAAAGGGTTACAAGTTACTAAGCCTACAAGATTTTAGTTTCTTTGTCAATTGAGATGTCAGATTTCTTGAGCACATATTTCCTTTTCAGTTCAAGCAACATTCTCATGTCCCATTATTTCCAAATGATCCCTTCACTGCCACATTTTTTGATGACTTACATCCTGTTCTTTTGCCTTCTACCAACTCTGAATCTCCTGTTCCACCCTCACCAGATTCACCTTTCAACCCTGACCCTTCTGCTGGTCTTGATCATGATGCTCCTTTAATTCACACTACATCAACCTCATCTCCAGTTTCAGGGCCTGTCCCTTTAAATGTTAGAAGATCTACTAGATCACACAAACCTCCAATTTGGCTGCAGGACTATATCACACCTTCAGCTCATTACTCTATTTCAGATTCTGTTTTCTATCCTCATCTCTCTCCATGTTACAGATGTTTCTTATCTTCCATCTCTCGAATAAGGGAACTTGCTTCCTTTACTGAAGCTTCTCAGGATCCCAATTGGATTAATGCTGTGCAGATAGAGATCAATGCTTAGAGGCCAACAAGACTTGGGTGCTTGTTCCTCTCCCAGCAGGCAAACAACCTATTGGCTGCAAATAGGTCTACAAAGTGAAATATAACTCTGATGGCACTTTAGAAAGATACAAAGTCAGGCTTGTGGCCAAGGGCTACAACCAACAAGCTGGCATCGACTACACAGAGACCTTTTCCCCAATGGCAAAAATGGTTACAGTCAGTTCAATCCTTGCATTAGCTTTGATTCATGCTTCGCCACTAGCTCTTCCAACTTGATGTATATAATGCTTTCTTGCAAGGAGATCTCCATGAAGAGGTTTATATGTCTTTACCTCAAGGATTTGGCACTCAGGGCGAGAATCACATGGTCTACAGATTGCTCAAATCCTTGTATGGATTGAAGTAAGCAAGTACACAATGGAATCACAAACTTACTGAAGCCCTTATCAGAAATGGTTACTTGCAGAGTAAATATGATTACTCATTATTCACCAAACGAGAAGGAAGCAACATAGTCATTATGCTTGTCTATGTTGATGATATTTTGATAATAGAAAGTTGCATTAAAATGATAGATCAGTTGAAGGTTATTTTGCAAGACATTTTTAAAATCAAGGACCTTGGTCATCTTAGATACTTTCTTGGAATTGAAGTTGCTAGGCCCTCTGAAGGGATTGTTTTGAATCGAAGGAAGTATGCACTTGAGTTGGTTTTAGAGGCTGGATTGTCTGCTGGGAAGCCTGCTGGCACTCCTCTTGAACTGAACTTGAAATTGACTTCATATGAGTTTGACAAGAAATTTCCACTAGGTGAAAAGGATGAGTTGCTGACATATCCTAGTATGTTTGGGAGAACGGTGGAACGATTGTTATATCTAACCATGTCTAGGCCTGACATTTCGTTTGCTGTCCAGACCTTAAGTCAATATATGCAGTCTCCTAAACAATCACATCTCGAAGCAGCATTAAGAGTTATAAGATATGTGAAGAAGGAACCAACTCTTGGGTTGCTTATGTCTACAAAAAGTATAAAAGAGCTGGTGGCATTTTGTGATTCAGATTGGGCTTCTTGTGCTGTTAGTAGAAAGTTAGCGCCAGGTTACTGCATTAAGATGGGAGATTCTCTTCTGTCTTGGAAATCAAAGAAATAAAATACCATTGCAAGATCATCTGCAGAAGCAGAGTATAGAAGTATGGTTAGAACTGTTGCAAAATTGATTTGGTTAATTGGTTTGCTTAAAGAACTTGATGTTGAAGCCAAAATTCCAGCATTGCTTTACTGTGATAACAAGGCAACTTTGCAAATTGCATCAAACCCCATGTTTCATGAAAGAACAAAACACATAGAGATAGATTGCCACTTCACAAGGGAGAAAATTCAAAGTGGCTTGATACTTACAAAGTACATACCAACTGGAGAACAATTAGCAAATGTAATGACAAAAGGCTTGGGAAGGTTACAACATGAAAAATTTATGTCCAAGCTGTGTATGAAAAATATTCATAAGATGCCAACCTGACGGGGAGTGTTAAGATTCAAGTTGGCACACGTGAGGTAGCATAGTTAGTTAAGAATTAGTTATGCTGAGCTGTAGTTAGTTAAGTCGTTAGTTAGTAGTTATAAGTTTATGTATGTCTATACAGCAATGTAACAGATTCTTCAATTAATGAAATTCATTCTTTACATTACTCTTTCTCGAATTCTCTCATGGTTTCCTTCTTTCAATTCACTTGCCCCAAATTAACACTAAATATGTTAGTATAATAGCATATATAAAGGGAAATTTCCTAATGCTTATATAATGTTTTTAAGTAAATACAGATGGTTCAGTCATATGTGTTGTTTCTTGATTATGGTGCAATGTCCATACTAGAGAAGCTTTAGGTGTAATATACATTCAAAACTACTGTTAACCATAAAGAACAAAGAGAAACCTTCCGTGTTGTTATTTGAGGAGAAGCTTCGATGCATGTTTAGATTTCTGATCAAAAGGTTCAAAAAGCTATGAGTGGAAGATTTGAAAGGAACTAAGCTGATATAGGAAATTAAATGCTATACAACTGCCTGTACCGAGCCCTTAATAACTATTCAAGAATAAATACAATGACCCACTTATTTATTTGTCAGCTTGGTTAGGAAATAATAATAAAAGCAAAGCAATCGTGTAAAACGTGGACCAAAAGAAATTACAAACTACATAAATTGTTATACATCACTTCACTCAATATAACGCTCAGTACATATTTTTTCTTTTCAATATATAGCACAAATATTTGTTTTTTTTTTTTTTTAACAAAATCTTTTTTTATAAAAAATTCAATAAAAAAATATTAAACATATCAATTCAGTTTAAAATTATACGATTATCCTAAAACAAACCAATTTATATGTTTGAATTTACATAAGAAGTTTGTACATATAATATTATTAATAATAGGTAAATAATATTAAATATACAAACTCACACATATAACATAATGTGCATTAAAATGATTTGATAACTTAAATTATAATATATATATATATATTTCATACATAAATTGATTTATTATGCCCTCATTGTCGCACTTCTGATATCCCATTACTGTTTCAACAACCATGTCAATGTCCAACTTAACATCGAGTTCGTTGGCGCGCCCCACTCCATTAAAAAGCAAAAACCCATCTAAACAAAACACCTTTTCCCGTCCTATCATGCATGCTCTTGATTCTAACACTACAATTAACGTTTAATAATATGCCACTTATAGACAATTTCAACGACATTGTTGGATTAATAAATATAATCTTAAAAATATTAAACATACTAAAAAAATCTTCTACGATCAAAGTTTAGAAAACAATTGAAAATATAAATAGGAATAAATTTCCTATAAAAGAATGTTATAAATATTGCAGGTGTAATACAAAGAGAAGCAGTTAAAGTCTAGACGATAAAATAAGGCAAAGAAAAGCAGAAGAGCAAATGGGAGAGGATGGATAAAGGGTATCAAAAGTTTGATGAAAATCTTTTTGACCACAGGATGTAAGGATAAGAACTGGATAATGAAAGTGTGGCTCGATAATTGAGTTTCTTCTTTGGAACCGTTTGATCGACATATTTACATGAACCTCGAATGGGGAATGGTTAATGATTATTAGGTGGAACAATTTTGATCCATTCTCCAAATCTCTCCCTCCTGTCTCCATTCTACAACACAAAACCTTTCCAATGAAGAAATACAAGAAAATAATTTACGAAGAATCCAACAAAAAAGTTTCCCTTATCAATTTTACCCGAGAGAATTGGTTTTATCTCTATATAGGATTAACCGAGTTGTTTTGTGAAGAAAGCCGAAAAAAAGAAAAAAATTCCTTTTTTTTTTTTTTTTTTTTTAATTAAGAGTAACTCTTATCATCTTTCCGATTTTACACCATCCATAAATTTTGTTCGGTAGATGATTACTTCTTATTACGTTAATTATTGCCCCGAGGCAAGAATCATGGTGCAAGATAGATGACGTAAGATAAATATTCTTTAGGACACAGAAAATGAAGCCTGTGACGGGCCCTTAATAAATACTTAGGAATAATTAGGTTGACCCACTGATTTATTTGTCAAGTTGGTTTGGAAGTAATATTAAAAGCAAACCCATCGTGTAAAACGTGGACTAAAGGAAATTATAAATGAAGTACATATTTTTTTCTTTTTAATATATAACACAGATAATTTTCTTCAAAAATGGTAATACGTAGTTAGAGAAAAAGCTAAAATTTTTTTTTTATAAAAAACTTGAATAAAAAAAAAGTAAATATTTGTTTTCAAGCCAAAATTTTAGTTCACACACACACACACACACACACATATATATATATAAAACAATCTATTAAATTAATAATATGGAACAAATTTAGCTTCTAACATTTTAAGATCAAATTCTGAATGGGAAATTAAAATTAATAGTAAAATGTGAACAGATAAAAGTTTTCTTTGGGAAAATAAATATTAAACTTGAAGAGATAAAATTCTNTATATATATATATATATATATATATAAAGTTGCAAATTCTTTTTTTTATATGTATAACCTCAGTCATGTCACCAGCTGTATCAATTTCCAACACAACATCGGGTTGGTTGCCACACCCCACTTCATTAAAAACGGAAAAACCCATCCAACTACCTTTCAGCATCTTTCATTTTATGCTCTTGATTCTAATACTTGTATTAAGATAAGGATCATTTTCAACACAGATAGAAGATAAGAAACTGGGTCCATGACCTAGCTAGAGACAATTGGGTCTGTTTATTTTATTATTTTGGGTAGAATTTTAAGAATAATATCGGGTAGTTGAATAAGGAAGTATTATGAGATAAAATTTAAAAATTTATAAAAAACTCTATAGGTTTGCTAATTTAACTAAACACCCAAATATATAAAATTTTTATAAAATGACAAAAATACCTTCACCACTTGCAGTGCTAGATTCCAGCCAACACCGCCAGAATCTGATTAGAAAATTGCGTTACACCACAGACCGATCGGATCTGGCAGGTAGGACGTCGATCTGGCTTTTTTTGGCCAGATCCACCACGGATATGGTCGAAAAAGGCCAGATCTACGGCCAGATCTGCGGTCAGATCTGGGCGTCGATGGCTGTCAAAGTCCATCTTTGGCCGTCAGCGATTGCCAAAGATATGGCTGTCCAAGTCCATCTTTAGCTGTCAGCGACTGCCAAAGATATGGCTGTCATTGTCTATCAACGACGACCATTTCTTTGATCATCGCTAACAGCCAGATCGGTGAATTACCAGCCATTTTCGGTGGTAGTGTAGGCCGTTGTGACGGATTTCGACCGTGGTAGCAGGAATCTAGTAAGTATGGGTGGGTGGGGGTGTTTTTTTTTTTAATTTTTAAACTTTTTTTTGGGGGTATTTATGAAATTAATAAATTTAAGGGGCCTAAAATAATTAAAAAAATAAACTAATATTTCTCATATAATGTGCCCAATAATATTTGGGGAATATGGGTATAAATATGGAACCAAAAACACCCAATATTTTTTCAGATTGTAATTAATGGTGCCTCGTATATTGAGCTTTTTCTTTATCCATGGATCTCTACTTAAGATTGAATCAAAATGATCCTTGCCCCTTTTGATTATAAATAGTAAAGAAAAAGGTCTGTTCCAATATTCTCAAACTGCAAAAAAATATCTCCAAAAGCAACCTGATATAATTTCAATCGTGTGTGTTGAAGTTTTTCTCCTCAATTCCAAACACCTATCTCTCTCCAAGCTACTTGTGGTGTGTCCCTTGATCTCCTCCTCTCTCCTCCCTATCCAACGCGTGAAGAACTTCAGTCATAGTTGGATTCAAGTAAGATCGAAAAACTCTCACACTTTCAAGTATATGTATTTAAAAAATGTTAAAAAATGTTAAAAGATTACTAATTCTTTATGATATATATATATATTATATATATAGAATATATATAATATTTTCTGTGTTTTTACAAACTTTGAATTTAGAAGAGTTTTCCATTGTGTTATTTTTCAAGATTTTATTTAATAATCCAAATTTCTATCAATGTTGTCTTTTGGTGATATTTGGGTGGGTATTTGAAGTGGGCTGACCCAAGTCAACTGGTGTAGTAAAATAATTGGATATTGACATGCTTCTTTTTCGGAAAGTAGAGATTTCATTTCAAAATCAAATTCTTAAAAGTCTCAAGCCTGGGCTCAGGCCTCAGGGAAAAGTTCCGGATTTTAATACCCGGACCACTCCTACCCTAGCTTTTAGCCCAAGTTTAATTGGTTAAAAAAATAAAGATCTTTTTGAGATTTTTCTTACAGATTCGGGGCTGGACAAAAATCTATTAGGCGACTATTTAATAAAGATCTTTTTGAGTTTTTATAAAGGTTTTTTTTTTTTTTTTGAAATTTTAATTTTTAAAAGGTGTTATGTAGGTTTTTATAGAGTTAGCTATTTTATGGAGGTTATAGTAAATTCAAAACTTCATATAATATATGTGAGCCAGAGGTCGGGCTTATCAAAGTCAGGCCCAGTCTCGGGATATAACATATGCTTGTGCTCAGCCCATGTCATTTCTTTTACATCTGTAAGGTTGATTTAGTTATTTTTTCAATTTCAAATATTAAAGCATGTGAGTGGGGTTGGTAACACTTACCCCATTTAACTTTATTTTATTATATTTAATTTTGTTATTTTCTTTTGACTTATTAATACTTACAGTAATAAGTAATAGTGTAATATACACTCCATTGGCCGTAATTGTACATTAAAATTAAATTAATGTTAATTTCTATATATTATCAAGTACTTTTAAGTTAATTTAAGCATCTTTGATAAACATATGTATTATTGTATTAGAGACAAAATATTTGTAATTAATTAAATTTTGAACAATAAACTATAAACTTAGAAGACAACATTAATCTTCAAGTAGGTGGACAAAATTCATATGTTATCTCTTTACTATGTGATATTCCCTTAATGAACGGTTGATGGCATTGTAATATGTTACCAATTAGCTCTCTTCGCAATAACTAATAGCACCCTATATGTCACATGTGTAGCCAGCTGGATCACTCCCACCCGAAATATTCAGCTATACAATTGACTGATCAGGTAGAATTAATAGGAGAAATTTTTTGCAAATATTTTGTTGGATTCTTCATTAATTCTTCTCTTGCCTCCATAGGGACGTATTGGAATTGGAGAATGACGACGGACGGTTATTATGGGCCTTATCGGGCAGCCCTGTAGGAGGATTGGGTTTTCATGTTGTACTTCTTCGAAAAAAATCCTAATGCTATGTCATTGCCTCTATCTGCCGCCAGGGACACTGCATTTCACTTGTCAGTTTTCAGCAATGATAAACAGCCGATTAAACATTTACTTGATATTGCCAAAAAAAACCATATGACAACAGATGACGTTTTGGCAAAGAATAAGTACGGAGACACAGCTCTTCATGAGGCTGCTGCCAATGGGAACCTTGAGGCGGTAAAGCTCTTGGTGGAATACGATAAGGAGCCCTCTTATGATGTTGAAAATACAGAGTTCCTTGAGGATATTAATGACGAAGGCGAAACCCCACTGTTTAAAGCTGCTGCATATGGGAGAACAAAAGTGGTGAAGGTTTTAGCTTCTGAGCGATTTGAACAACTGATCAGAGGAACAAATTATGAAATTACAGAAACAGGAGAAATAAAAATAGTAGAAGTTACACAGCTGAAAGACATTCACCGCCATAAAATAACCCATATGAAGGAAAAGCCTAAACCGTCTACACCCCTAGAAGAAAAAACCATAGAACTGCAAGGAGCTTCCATTAGTCTGCACGTTGCATCTGAACCTTCCAAACCGCCTACACCCGTAGAAGAAAAAACCAACAAAGTGCCTGGAGCCTCCATTTTGCACGCTGCCATCCAAGGAGAGCATTTTGGTCTCTTTCTCTGCCCATCTAACTTGTTTACTTTTGCTTTGAATTGAAATATTCAACTGCTATCTGATGTGCCAAGTTTTTTTTAAATTTTCGCTCAGAAACGGCTCTACTATTACTTAAACTGGATAAAAGCTTAGCAACATTAGAGGACGAAAATGGCAGGACCAGTCTTCACCTGCTAGCCACTATGCCCTCTGCTTTTAAAAGTGGATACCGAATGGGCACATGGATCAGCAGAGTCTTCTACTTCTGTATGTACTCTCCAACCTTCTATACTGTAACATATATTAATAAGAAGAGAAATGCTAGTATGCTACAGTTACAACGGGTTATAAAAAAGCCCTTTACAAAGTGATGTGATAGGACTTTTAATAATTAATTAATTATATCAAAATAATTTATTCAACCCAAATTCTCTCTCTCTCTCCTCCTCCCTCTTCCTCTCTCTTATCCCTCTTCTTCACAAACTCGGCCAGACCTCTTACCGTCTCGTTATACTCTCTCGTTGCCTTCTTCCTCAACTTCTTATTCTCCTCTTCCATCACTCTCCTAGATTTTCTATTTGGCCCCGCCCTAGCATCATATTGGTCCACCCAACCAAAATTCGTCACCGTACTAAATTCTAGCCAATAATTATAAAACGCCGTCACCTGCCTGTACAGACTATCCAAATTCCCCATTATCGGCGCCTCCCGCACCGTATCCCATCGCAAACCTAATTTCTTAACAAAATTGATCTCATTCCTATAAATCTTATCAAACAAATCCGAATAAACCTTATAAAAACCTTTACCCGAATCGGAATACCCGTAAAAGGCGGTGTTTGAGAAATAAGAGAAGTGATTGGGGACGACGGAGTTGGGGCCGGAGTTCGACGACGAATTGAGGTCGGAGAAAAGAATCTGAGAGCGGTGAGAATCGTCCCTGGCGCGTTCTTTGGGATCGGGGACGACCTCGTAAGCGTGAACGAGTTCTTGGAACTGAGCGGTAGCTTGTTCGTGAGTCAAGCCGGATTGGACGAGCTTGTCGGGGTGGCGCTGGAGGGCTAGCTTCTTGTAGGCCGATCAGATTTCGTCCGGCGAGCAGTCCTTGAAGATTTGGGTTCGTCGGCGTTTCATGTCACTTGACTAATTTTTTTTTTTTAAAATTGGGGTTAAATAAATTATTTTAATTAATATAATTAATTACTAAATGACGATGTGCCAAGTGATAAGTTGCCACATCACTCTGCCAACCGCTTTATATAGGGCTCTTTGTATAACCCTGTGTTACTGTAGCATTTCTCTAATAGCAATTAGAGTGAATGGGTGTTCAGTTCTTTCTTTCTTTGTTTTATATTTTTTTGTCACACTTTTTATAGATCTATTTTTTTTTAAGTTAGGGTCACTGAAACGTAAGTGTTTTTTTTTTTTTTTTTGTTATAGATTTGTGATACAAATTCATGATTATTAATTTATAGTAATCTAATGACTTAAAAATTGTTTAGTTGACATTAAAATAGTTAACTTCTCAGCAAGTCATTGGATCAAATTGATTTAATAGTTAAGAATTTATGTCACAAAATTATATTAAAATGATGACTTATTGATCCATGTATGCATTTGGTTCATTATTCAATGCTTTATAGAATAATATTTTGAAAAAAGTAAAATTGGGTGAGTATTACGATGTAGGATTTGAAAATTAATAAAAATATCTCTTATGTTTGTTTATTTACTAAACACTCATATAATAAAATATTAAAAATTAACAAAAACACCCCCACCCACCCATTAAATACCGACAGTAGGCCACCACCGTCGGATGGTGACCAGAGTGTCGTATCGGCACACGACCGATTGAATTTGGCTGCATTTGGTCATTAACCGTTATATCTTGGCTGTCGTTGATGACTGGCTACAGCAAAAAACAGTCAGATTTTTTACTGTAGATCTGGTCTTTTCCGACCAGATCCACGAAGATCGGCGCACTACTGGCCAAATCCAGACAATGGTGGCCGAAATCTGGCAAATGTGGGTTGTTAGGGTGTTTTTATCAATTTCTAAATTTTTTTGGGGGGGTGAGTAAATTAACAAATCTAAGGGGTTTAAAAGAGTTGAATAGTATAGAATAATATTTTGAAAATAAAGAAATAAATGTGTATTTTGGATAGAATATGGAATAGAATAGTGAAAAATTGTGAAACAAACGGGGCCCAAAAGTTTTATTAGGATTTGATTTTATATATATATACTCACTAAAAAAAAAATTCGACTGCCAAAATTCGATATCTAACAACTTTATGGTTAACTAGATTAAAAAGTTTCTTAAATAGACAAATTCTAGGTCACATTTAACATTCTCATATAAGTGTATATATATTATTAAATAAGGGTATTTTAGTTATTTAATTAATGTGTTTGTTAATAATTTTCAAATTTTGAATATAGGTTAATAATTTTGAATATTTGTATGTAAGTTAGGAAATTTAACTTATGAAATTAAGTGTATTTATCTTAAAAGTAGAGATAATATGAAAAGTGTATATAAGTTAATAATACATATTTATTATAAAATAAGAATGTTATATTAATAGTAATGGTTATATATATTATATATACGTCTTAATTTCTTAGGATGTGTGCCCTTAATACGTGCATTGTGAAAGAACATTTTATTAAAGATATTTACATATTTCTTATTAATTCCTAAATTTATAGGCTTTCCAATTGATGATCGTATAAATGATGATGAAAAGAGGATTTGGTTTAATCTCTTCAAAGGTAATAGATGAAACTTACTTTTGTTCTGATTTAATTTCTTAGCATATGTGCCTCCAAACATACATGCCAAAGAGAAACATTTGTTAATGAAATATACTTTTTGTTAATACCTAAACCCTACAGGCCTTCGTTTTGGTGATGATGTAGATGACAAAGAACTTTGTTGTTTAAATCTCTTTAAAGGTAACAGTTAAAAATTTACCTTATTTCCAAATTATTTTTAAATAAAAATATGACTTTTGTTCCGTTAAATTCATTTACTTTGCTACATTGTATGAATCATGTACATGCGTGAACATGAATATATAGGGTGGTGGATACTGGGAAAAATCTGTTCACCAGCGAGAAAAATCTGTGAAGCTAAGAGAAAGCATAAACTTGCTTTTGGACTTGCCAAGATCCTAATAGCAGTAGATGATTCGTGGATGGAAAAAATTGAAGAAACCATCCCAACAATTTCATCATCTGATGTTGATGAACACGGCAATATTCGAGCTAGAGCACCGACTGAAGAAGATTCTAAGCCAAGCCCTTTATTTCTAGCAACTGAAAGAGGAATAATAAAGATTGTCAAAGAGATACTTAAAGTCTGTCCCCCATTAGTTGAGTACGAGAATAATCTAAAGCAGAACATATTGCATGTAGCTATTAAGCACCGACAAAAGAAGATATTCGATCATGTGAAAAGGATGAAGATGCCAATGACAAGGTTAGTCCGAGGGATTGACATAAATGGCTACACCATTTTACACCATGCTGCATACACGAACGATGAATCTAGAGAAATTCACCCTGCAGGACCTGTATACGAACTGCAAGACGAGCTAAAGTGGTACAAAGTAAGCCTATCTTTCTCCTACTTTAAGAATATTAATCATGTATGGATTAAGAAATAACGTGTCCTCAAGGTATACATATGTAAATATCTTTTCTATTTTAAATTTTATTCATTATTCAAATCAGACAATTAACAATGAAATTTTAAAACAGCGAAAATATAAAATTTTAGAGAATATAATTGGCAACCCCCATTGTATGTACTCTAGTTTATGCATTAATTACCGTGGCAGTGGCAGATTTAAGAACCAATATGCATTGCTCTATGTTTATATATGCAGCGTGTGGAGAAGGTGACGCCCCCCCACTGCCTCATGTTGCCTGATTCAGAGTATAAAAAGACTTGCGAAGAACTCTTCAATATGAAGCATAATGAACTACTGACGCGAGCACGACAATGGATAAAAGAGACTTCTCAATCTTGCTCTGCAGTGTCTGTTCTTGTTGCCACCGTTGTCTTCGCAGCTGCCTACACAGTACCTGGAGGTTCCAAGGATAACGGGTATCCAGTTTTCCTCAACAACAAATTCTTCATGTTTTTCACAGTCATGGATGTGGTTGCTTTAGCCTGCTCCTTGACCTCGGTGGTCATGTTCTTGTCCGTCCTCACATCACCTTTTAATTACGAAGAATTCCTTCACGCGCTCCCTCGAAAACTTACAATAGGCTTCTCCTTACTCTTCATTGCCTTGACTACAACAATGCTTGCATTCGCGGCAACATTATTGCTGATCGTTCATTTCCAAAAGCCACGTTGGACCACCACTATCATTTACACTGCTGCATTTCTTCCGGTCAGCATATTTGCACTCACGCAATTCCCTATGTATGTTGCATTTAAGGTAACTTTGCTCAAGTTTTACAAGTGGAATAAGAAGTTTTACAAGTCGATTAAGAAGCCTTTTCCTCGTAAATGGTTTGAGAAGCCGGAGAAGCCGATTGCAACCAGGCTTCAAGTTTGTTCCAGGCGGGTTGCAAACAAGATACAATTTTGTACGAAGCAGCAGCTTCAGACAAATGGACTGTCGTCTAAGAGGAATGATGATGATCTAGGCCTAGACCCCTAGTATGACAGATTTATATATGTTGCTCGAAATGTTAAAGGAGGCTGATAGATCACCGATGCAAGAGACTTCTATTGGATATTAATTAAAGGGTTGAATAGTTCTATTCTCCGACTGATTAATATTAATTAATGGTGAGTGTTTTGTTGATTGTAAAGTGCAGTGGCATACTTGAGAGAAGAACTTGTGTGTGTTTAACACTGTGTTCAAGGCATGCAGTTTACCAAGTCAACTTGCTTTGAGTCTATTGTTAATTTAGCATTTGACGGGTCAGCAAACTGTTAGTAGTTGGCTAATTGTTAAAATATCAAACTCAGCTGAAGCTTCTAAAACTGCATTTATAATGTATATATCATGAGTATGCTTGTCATGTTAGTTTTTCTATGAAACCAAATTTCAAGTTACAGCTTATTTATTTTCTCAATTCAACTTGTTCAATAATGAGTCGTATTAGGGCTTATAACCCACAAAGTGATAAAAAATTTATCATATATGGAACATTGAAAAATGTAGGTTTTTTTTATATAAATAAGATTTATTGAAATAATCAAGTTTTTGTTTGTTCATAGTCTTAATCGAATGTTCTAAGAGTAGGTTTTTACTCTTCCATTTAACAAAGTTTTGACTGCATTAGATATTTGGGTGAATGTGAGAGCACTTAGAAAAGAGGAAGAGAAAAGGGAGTAAAATATTGTGTCTAATTTTAACATCACAATTTACCCCTCGATTAAACAATGTGAAACTTATTTAACAGCACTAGCGTTCAATTAGGTTTAGAGTCGTTGAACATGAACTACATTTATAATAATATATTAACCTTTTAAGTGTATTGGTTAGATTATCAATTAAAATATACAATTATAAACTGTCTTAGAAATCAAACTCAATTATAGATGAAACAACAACACAAAAATAAAATAAAATAAAATAAAATAAAATAAAATATTACAATCATATGAGGCTAATTAATGGCTGTCTTTTTACACATAAATTAGCTAGTAACTTATTCCACTAAAATATTAATTAATTAATGGGTAAAAATCACTTACTTCCCAAACTTTATTAGAAATCATCACTTAGATGTCAACTATCACAATTTTAATCAAGCTTCCCTCAAAATTATATAAGACTTCATCACTCACTACCCTAAAATGGTGATAGTTGACATCTAAGTGATGATTTTTAATTAATGGGTAGTGAGTGATGAATTCTTTAAATAGTTTTGGGGAGAGTTTGATTAAATAGGTACCTGTTGATATCTAAGTAATAATTTCTAATAAAACTAGGGAGGTAAATAATTTTTACATCAATTGTAATATCATAATTCATAATCACAAAAGTAGTTTCACATTATCAGGAAAGTAATCCCCTATATCTTAATTAATCATAAAAAGCTCTATTATATGATCAATGTTTCTTATAATTAGCAACATGAATATTTTTATCCAAAAGGAAAAATCAGATTCTCAACTTTCTTCTATCCATTTCTCACTCTCATTTTAATTAGGACAAATGATTTGTTATCAATCAGTAAAATTATCATATCGGTTTTAAATAGTGCATATTTATTATGGCTTTATTTATGAAGCACATGGTTCATTAGTTTCATCAAAAACTTACTCTACTTGTGGATTTTGAGAGAAAAAGTGCGAAAATAAAGCAGATATGAGAAAGAAATTGAGAGAAGCAAAAGAGGAATTTTCTTCTTAACTGAACAACTGAATACAGTTAGGGATTATGCTTCCCTGTTATACAATTTTCTTCTTTACAAAACGACAGTACTTTGGCACATATTAAAGACATTTGCACAAACTTAAACGACACCGTTTATGCTTTATGACTAACATTCCCTCTCAAACAGAACCGTATGGACTAATCCTTCTTCCAATTACTCTATGATTAACATGCTCTCTCAAACAAGGCCTCGTAGCTTGTGCTAATTTCTCATGACAACACCTAGTATTTTAGTAAGAACACTTGGAGCCAAAGAGTAATGCATACTGCATAATTCCCAGAGCACCATTTCCTGCAAAAAATTGAACTAGCACACAACAATAGCCACAACAACATGTTCTGCTGAATAACACACAGCTACAATAACCTTTTCTACTGAATAACACACACAGCATAATTCCTAGAGCAGTTTTTTGCATAACTCTCTGCAAATGCATACTTTGAACTAGCACATAACAATAACCACAATAACCTTTTCTACTGAATAACACACACTGCATAATTCCCAGAGCAGTTTTCTGCATAAATTTTCTGCATAATTTCCAAACAAAAACACAGCAATAACTCTGTCTGTTGAACCAGAGCCTCAGAAATCAATAATGTTTCCTGCTAAACCAGAGCTTCAGAAACGGTAGAGCTCAGTCAAATCAGCATCCTCATCAAAACTCAGGAACAACCACCATCAATCAAGAACATAATCAATGTCCGGAAACCAATAAGAACAGCAACGATCATAATCAACCCTCCAGAAACCATCAGAACATAAAACAAGCTCCAGAACCATCAGTTTGACTGGAAACACTAGTCAACACCAACTATCAATGTGACAGAATAACCACATCTGCAGTAGGCTTCAGAACAAGAATTTCCCAACAAACTTCTTTAGAACAAAAAACAGATAATTCCATAACACAACACAGAAATTGCAGAGCTTCAGTTCAGTAAGTCCAGAACACAAAGAAATTCTAGAACTTTAGTAAGTCCAGAACACAACACAAATTGTTAGATTCTGCACCCAGATTTAAGCCGTCTTCAGAACAAAAAAAAATTCCAGAACACAACACATTTTGAATTCCACATTATGGTGAATTACTGATGAGTTAGGGAAGAAGTAACGGAGACAGAATCTTACTCATGAACATCATCAATTTGAACATTTAGTTTAGCCCTTAGAGTTGCAAACTGGACTGTAGGCAATGCTTTAGTGAGGAGATCTGCAATCTGCAGTTTAGTAGGGACATATTGAATAGCAATTTTCTTGGCTAACACCTACTCTCTAATATAATAGGCATCTATTTCAATATGTTTGGTTCTAGCATGGAAAACAGGATTTGCAGCTAAAGCTCCTGCACTAAAATTGTCACACCAAACGACGGGTAAATGATGGATGGGTAATCCTAATTCAAAGAACATGTTATTAAGCCAGGCCACTTCTGTAGTAGTTTGAGCTAAAGCTCTATATTCTGCTTCAATGGAGGAAAGGGCTACCACCTTTTGCTTTCGGGAACTCCATTGGATGAGATTGAGTCCTAAATAAATGCAGTAACCACTGGTGGAATGTCTATCTTCCACACTACCAGCCCAATCTGCATCAGCATAGCATTCCACAGATAATGAGCAGGCTGGTCTGAATCTTAACCCATAATTCAGTGTACCTTTGACATATCTAAGTACTCTTTTGCAGGTTTGCCAATGATGTTCAGTTGGAGCTTGAAGAAACTGACTTAGCTTGTTTATAGTGAAGCTAATATCAGGTCTGGTTAAAGTTAAATACTGAAGGGCTCCTATGGTACTTCTATACAAACTTGGGTTATCAAAGAGTGGGCTGTCACTAGGGAATAACTTGACACCTGTAGCCATTGGTGTGGGACAGCTATTGGACTCCAACATTCTGGTCTTAGTGAGAAGATCAGCATCATATTTTGTTTGCTTTAAGTGGATGCTCGAGGAAGTTCTACTTGCCTCCAATCCAAGGAAATACTTTAAAGAGCCAAGAGTCTTTAATGCAAAATCAGAATTTAGATTCTGCACTAGAGTAGTAATGTATGAAGAATCTGAACCCGTTATTAGAGTGTCGTCCACATAAACAAGAACATAGATAATACCAAAAGTAAGCACAAACAAGTTGGAATCTGAAACAGCATTGTGAAACCCTTTGAGCTGAAGAGCACGTTTTAGTTTGTCAAACCAGGCTCTTGGGGCTTGCTTAAAGCCATAGAGAGCTTTAAAAGCTAGCAAACCAAGGAAGGCTGAGACTTATCTTCAAAACTAGGAGGTTGTTTCATGTAAACAGTTTCATTTAGAACACCATTTAGGAAGGCATTGTTGACATCAATTTGTTGGATGTCCCAATCATTTGTAACGGCAAGAGTAAGAATAATCCAAATGGTGGAAGGTTTGATCACGGGACTAAAGGTTTCAAAGTAATCTAAACCAGGAGTTTGTTGAAACCCTTTTGCTACCAACCGGGCCTTATACTTTTGCAAAGACCCATCAGCATTAAATTTGGTACGAAACACCCACTTATTCCCTACTATATTCATATCAGCAGTAGGAGGAACAAGACTCCAGGTCTGATTTTGGACTAAAGCATCAGACTCACACTGCATGACAGCCTTCCATTCATTACTTTCAAGAGCTTCTGGTATTGAACTAGGCTCTGGAATAGCAGATAGGCAGGTGGTTGCAAGAACTATTTTGTGACCATTACTAGAACTAGCAACAGCTAATTTTGCTCTAGTTAGCATAGGATGAGTATTTTGAGCAGCGGGCTGGAAGATGTGCGAATCACTAGGAAACTCTAATGAGGTAAGATCAACCTCAAGGTGACAAGAGGGTAAAGTGTCTCGAGAGGTAATGCAAGGCAAAGATGAAATAGTAGATAGGGGATGAGGGTTATTTTCTAATGAAACAGGCTAGATAGTAACAGATGGTGACATTGAGTTAAGGGAAGATGAGGTATGTAATGGACTAGGTAGTGGGTTAACAGTAGTAGGGGATTCTAATATAGGTTTAGTTGCTGTGGGTTCTTTTAGTGGTGGTGATGGATCAGGAGGAATTATTTGTGGAGAAGATAATGGAGTAGAAGTAGTGATCTTACCAACTGTTGAGATATCAGGACATCATGTGGCCTAGGGCACTGTAGGAGGGACATAGGAAGCTGTACAATTGGGGTAAGGGAAGACAACAAAAGGAAAAGAGTTAATGGTATCTGAAGTGGACTGAGACACTAAAGGAGATACTTGGTTATCAGTAAACTCATGGGTACTAAATGGAAACTCACTCTCATTAAACTGAACACTTGGTGTAATAACAATGGTACCATCTGGTTTAAGACACTTGTAACCTTTATGGAGCAAACTATACCCTACGAAGACACACTTTGTAGAATGAAAATTGAACTTGTTTTTGTGGTAAACTCTTAGATAAGGAAAGCATGAGCAACCAAAGACTTTAAGAGTATCATAAACAAGAGGATGATGAAATAACATTTGATAAGGTGTAATGAAATTAAGAGTAACAGATGGCATTATGTTTATAAGGAAAACAGCAGTTTCAAAAGCTAACCACCAGTAATGAAGAGGCATGGATGCATGTGCTAAAAGGGTTAAACCTGTCTCAACTATGTGCCTATGCTTTCTCTCACTTTTTCCATTTTGTTGATGAATATAAGCACAAGAATTCCTGATTTGTATACCCTAATCAATGAGATAACGGAGGAGAGCTTTGTATTCTCCTCCCTGATTAGACTGAAGGCATTTTGAATTTACACCCAAATTGTCTTTTTGCTAAGTGGTGAAACTTAATGAAAACTGATTTGACTTCAGATTTAGTGCGAAGAGGAAATAACCAAGTAAATTTGCTAAAATCATCTAAGAAATGAATATAGTATTTGAATCCTTCTTTAGAGGCAAAAGGGGCAGGACCCCATACATCACTATGCACTAATTCTAGAGGAGAAGTGGTGTGTGATTGTGAAAGGGAAAAACTAGCCTGATGCAGTTTTCCTAGTTTGCAAGATTCACAAAACAGTGGGGTACTTAGTTTAAATTCTGAAGACACATGTTGTTTTGAAAAACCATAAATTATTTTTTGTAAATTCCTAGGATGAGGATGGCCTAGTCGCTTATGCCATAACATGTAATCAAGATATTGTTTACTAGTGGTTAAGCACACAACATTATCATCACACGCATCAGTATGATTATTAGCAACAGCAAAAATTGAACTAGTAGAATCAACAGAATTATTAGAAATATCAGCTATGTTAAAGTTGGAAGCCTTAAAATCATTAGTAGTAAAATTATCAATAGCAACATTTTGGCACTAAGGAGCAAGCATCACATTAGAACTTTCAGTAACCAAGTTATTGGAAATTTCATTAGTGTTAAGCTCATTACAAGAAGGAACATTTTATTGAACAATGCTATCACTAGTGTTAATAGTAAAAGGCTGAATTTTATTGTTTGAGACATTAAAAGGCAGAGGCTTACAAGCAATTGAACACTTAGCTTCTGAAACAAAGCTAGACTTATTCTTATCAGCAATTACAGGGGTATTAAACTAGACACTAGGAACCAGAGGCTGACACATAGTAGGATAGTTTGCTTCTGGAACAGAATTGGACATACTCTGAATGCTCATGGCTGCAATATTAGGTTGAGATAAAACACTACCAGATGGAGACACAAAATTTGTGAGATCAGGAGACTGAAACAAGGAAGCAAATGATGGTCTATGGGACTTTGAAGAAAGTGTGGATGGAATGTGTAACTGATACAGTCATCCTTTAAGTCCCCCTTGCAGCAGAACTCCCTTGGTTATATAAAAGAAGTTTGTAAGCTAAAGTTAAGCTATTAAGCTTATAAAATTCCTTTTTCACAGAAGTCATCAACTTCTTTAAACATACAAATGAAATCTAAACATTATAACCATATCTCACTAATAAAAATTATATATACAATGAAAACAAAGCATTATGATCGTATGGGACTGATAAAAATTCTCTATATCCATAATTTTTGTCAGTTATGGAGCCCTCTATTTAGGCTCCGAGAATTTAATTATCAAAATTCATATAGAAGTTTTCTCGTCTATCATGAAATTGTTATTCTAATTAGTAATACTATACTTATAAAAATAAAGTTATCCATACATACAAAGTGACGTAATACTATTCTTTCATTGTCATATCATTCATTATCATTTAATTTGCATTTATCAAACTATTTAACCAATGTAGCTAGCTTTTTGAAAAGTTTGGCAACATGACTTTATTAATATATGTTTGGCAAACAACACAAAATATAACAAACGTTACCAGTGCACGAAATGCTAGTTTATCTTTTTGTCTTCTAGTCTCCATTTATTTGGCAACATTTTGCTAAGCACAAACAAAAGCTTAATTCGGTTCGCTTACTTCTTTAACAGTTGCATGATCAATAAGCAATCCTTTCTTCCATTTGTTACTCCAAATTTCATATAAACCAAAGAAAGCTCCTCGTCACCTTTACCATCTGGAATTTTAACGATGAACTCTTCTTCAGGCTTAGGAATATCAAATGGATTACCAGGTGTAGTCTGCTCCAGTGGCTTAATCTTTTTCCATATGGATTTTCCCTTTGCCCCAATCTTAGCCATCAGAAAAAGTGGGAGGCCATTCCACCCAGAGAAGTCTTCTGTGGAAGATATGTTGAACTTTATTTCATATGAGTTCCCCCTTTCTACTTTTTTTGAACCGGTTACCTGAAGCCAACACACCTTAATTAGCTCTGCATGTCCTTCTGGCCTGTACAATAAAATATATGCTGGATTTTTCAGATTTATAGATATTATACTCTACTGCAAGAAGAAAACTCTAATAAATCGTACTTGAATTACCAAATCAAAACAACCTTTAACCTTTAACTTTACTTATCACCGTTTGGATCAATGAAAATTAACAGTTCATAAGGAATATCAAAATATTGAATCAATAATATAAGTCACACTATCATGATCCTACACACACACACACACACACACACACACACACACATATATATATATTGGACGGTAATAGTTAAAGAAAGGGGGATTTTTTTACTTTTCATTTGTTGGTCGTATCCAGTACTTTTTGTCATTGCCCCATGTAATCTCAAAGTCTCTAGGGTAGATGATGATACAATAAAACTATGCTTACTCACAATCTTACTAACCATCTTACTATCCTGGTAAATATAACGGCATAGTACGGGTACTATGCGTATGGTACCTATACTATGCCGTTATATTTTCTAGGATATGGTACCTGTACTATGCCGTTATATTTTCTAGGAGAGTAAGATGGTTAGTAAGATTGTGAGTAAGCATAGCATTACTCCTCATGTGAATATGTGATTACACCCACCTACAGTAGCTAGGCATAAAAACCAACCGACTCGGTATATCAAACCAACATCGAGCCCCTACCAACTCAGTATATTGTCATTGCAACAAAACTATACTTACTCACAATCTTACTAACCATCTTACTATCCTGATAAATATAACGGCATAGTACAGGTACTATGCGTATGGTACCCGTACTATGCCGGTATATTTTTCAGGATTGTAAAATGGTTAGTAAGATTGTGAGTAAGCATAGTATTACTCTTGTCATTGTCATGGGATTGGCACCTATTTGCAGCGGCTAGGCATAAATCCCTACTAACTCAGTATATCGAGCCCACATCAAGCCCATGCCAACTCTGTATATCCTTCGATTTTCAACATCCTCAACCAAAAATTAACCCAAACAACAACATTAACCACTTATCAACATAAATTACCACAATTAATAAAGTTCCTACACATAAACTATATTTCTCTCCTTCCAATTTGAAAATTAATTCATCCAAGACTACCACCGCCTGCCAGAAACCACCATCAGTTGCCTTCCACCACTGCTACCGTTGGCGGCCATCGTCGGTCGATGTGACCAGAATGATGCACGATCGACTAAATTTACGACCAAAGATCTAATCGTTTCTGGTTGTAGATCTGACTATTTTCGACCAAATCCACAATGGATATGTCGTGCATCATTTTGGCGATTGTTGGCTGTCCTCTTGGGTGTTGGGGTGCTTCAGTTAGTTTTTAAATTTTTATTGTAAGGGTGTTTAGCTAAATTAACAAATGTAGGGGATAAAAAAATAATCTAAATATTTTTAAAAACTGTACCAAACAACTATTCTGTCTTAAAAACTTTTTTTTTTTAAATGTACGAAACAATTATTCAGATCAAACTCTGATATAATTTTTAGATGTTTTATTAAACACATTTTTATAATCTAATCCTATTCGATTTAATCCAACTCAACTCAACTTAAAACGCGTTTTAAAAATAACTTTTTTCAAATAATCAACTAAACAAGCCCAATATACTTCTAAAAACGAATTTTCTAAAAACTCATATAGCTAATATACTTCAAAAATAATTTTTGATGCAATCCTCTACTCTCAATATTAAGGTAAAAATAAAAAATAAAATCTAAAACTCAACATGTGAGACACAATTGGTGCAGAGCCCTTGGATCCCAGATCCAAGAATTCTAAGACTCAACATCTATATCATAAATTTTATAAAATATTTCATAAACATTATAATAGTTTTCTTTTATCCTAATATCATTATGCTCCAATCAAACCAAGATTCATTATCCCTTACAATTTCCACAATAATAATAATAATAATCTTAGTTAATTAAAACAAAAACTTTCATCTAAGAATTTAATATATATATATAAGAGGGAGGGAGAGAGAGAACCTTTTATTCTTTTTTAATACTAGCCTTACAAAGAGTCATACAAAAAGCTAAATTCAGCATTTGAAAGAAGGAAAAAAGAGAGAGAGAAAGAGAAAATCATGAATTTCAAAAGTTAGATTTGACTATTTGTATAACTCTTTGTATACCTCTTTGTAAGGCTAGTATTACTTAAACAATCATCTGTCTTTCAACCATCGGGACTTGATTTATACAACTTTTCAGGAAAATTATCATGTTAAGGTGAGTTTTGAAAAATTAACATTTGCACTCCTTGTTAAAAACTCATATTCCCTTTCACCAAACCCCAGAGTGTCAGGCCCTTTTACAGCTGTCATGTCCTTGTCTCTGCTCAAACTCATTTCTATCCCTCAATGAGGCAAATTCATGTTAGAAATAGATTTTATTTTTAAAATTGAATTTTTTTATATTTTTTGTTGTTAAATGTGAAATAAATTTTGTATTTAAGTAATTAATTCTTAAATTCATTTATTTTGTTAAAACAGGAAAGAAAAATATAATAACTTGAAATGCTTTTAAATAGTTACATAATAAAGTATTATAAAAATATTATTAATAATTTTTATATGTTAAAAGTTTTATGTAAATGTGAAAGTAAACCAAGGATTAAATTGTCTTCTTGATTAATTTACATTAATTACCAAAACTGACTTATCAAATGCCAACACTCAACGAGGAGAACATTGTTTTATTTTAGACATATTTTTAGGGCTGAATAACATGGTCACCACCAAACTATCGCAAAAGAACAATTTTCTCCCCTTAATTTCAGAAACACCCAACATTACGCCCCATCTTAGAGAGTAAGTCGTTGAAGAAACAGAAAAATTAAAGTTGGAAACAAACATGGACGGCGACTGACCTACAAGATCTGGGTGGCTGGATTTACAGCGAGTCTCTGGCTTCTGGTGATCTAGGTTGCCCGGTACCAGCTTGGTGGCTTGGTCGCGATTGATCGATCACCAAATCTTGGCCTAGACCACCACCAGATCTTTTACTTTTAAAATAAATAAAAAATGTATTTGTTGATCAGCGTCGATTGACAACTTCCTAATATTTTTAACTTTCAATAATAGAATTGTCTAACAAAGAATCCAACAAAGCATTTGAAAAAGTTTTCCCTTATTACTTTTACCAAAGTGAATTGGTTCCATTATGGGATTAACAGAGTTATTTTAATATATTGATATTTGTTATTTAAGTTAATTGATATTTCAAAGCTTGTTGTTCTTGGAAACAAGGCAAATCCGCAAATAGTATTAGTTTTATTTTACTTATTTTTTTAATAATAATTTTACATGTATAAAGGTATGATCCTAACTTTATATTCTAATTTATTGTTGTTTATATGTCAGAATTGGATTATAAAGAAATTTTCATTTAACTTATTATCTTATGAGTAATATTACATATATAAACTTTTCATATAAATTTATTCATATAAACTTTTATATATCATCTATTTTTTTCTTCTTTCCTAGCTATCCTTATATATAATCACTGTTTTAAAACTTGGCTCGGCTTGGCCGGTTTAACCGAGACCTAGAAGCTTCACTAGGTCGGATTTACATTTTTCCTATTCACCCAAACCCTAGAATTTGGGATGATGATTGGCAAATAATTGAAGGCAGAGACGTTGGGGCTTTTAAAGAGGAAGTGTCGGTGAGTGCAATGGTGCTGACGGAGTTGATATTTGGTGAGTAAATCGATCGAAAATCGAAAAAAGTTGGTGGCAACAACAATTGACTTTTGCTAGCAAGTGGCGAGGCTAACAAGGGTGGGGGTGAGGTGGGTGTTGAAAGGAAGAGGGAGTATTTTCGAGGTGATGGGGAGGGTTGTTGTCGGACCGGTCGTCACAGTCATAAAATTAAACCTAAATACCGTAGTTAGCGGTAAGCAAGGTCGAATCCACAGGGAGCAAGACTAACAACCTAATGTATTTTGAGTAGCAGAAATGAAATTGGCAATTGATTAATGAAACTAAATAAACTAAATGCAAATAATGAAATAGTGAAATTAAAACTAATAAAGACTTTATAATAAAAATGTTGCCGTTACGATTTTGGTTCGACACAAGACTGACTCACACAATTCTCCTCCACCCTCTACGATCCCCTAAACCTACAAGGCAAGGTAAATCAATGAAATGGCTTCTCGGCACTCTAGGTATAATCTATCATGTCTCACCCGATCACTCAAGTTCGATTGGTTAAAGACTATCATTGAACGCCGATAAACGCTACACGACAATACCACTAGTTGGTACAATGTTAATAAGTACAACCTATCAACTTGTATCTTTCAATTAACCAACTTCACAATAAACGCAACAACATTAGAAATTAAATTAAATCCGAACACAACTCAATTACAAACGATGCGAAGTAATGAAAAGCAATATTCGTCATTCAATTATTTCAAACCAACGTTTATCATTCAGCAAGTTCTATGAAAACATTAAATTATAATGGACAACAATATTCATCACAAATTATGCTCAAATCATATTAAAGTATTGAAATCAAACATGAAACGAAAACAAATATAATCCGAAGCACAATACTACCAAATGTCCTATAATCGGGCTCATCCAACTAGTCGAGAGCTGATGAGTATATTCTTGTAGTCAATCTTGATCTCGCCTATGCCGTAACAGACAACCGGGAACTTAGCCGCTCATGGTGGTGATGACGGAGGCCGAAACGGTGGAAACGAAGCTGACCATGGCAGAGAGGAGGTAACCGACAGCGATATGATGCAAAGAAGGGGTGAAAACGACCCACGGACAGCCCGAAATATGAACAGCCGCACTCGTCGAAAAACGTTAATTTTTCAGCGGGTCCTCCAGAAAACGGTGGCGGAAATGGAATCCGAAGGTACTAATGGGAAGCTCTTGTGATGGGGAGTTCAGATCAGGTCCTAGGGAGGTGAGAAGTCGCCGGAAATGAGCAAGATCTGGCCTGGAAGATGAAGAGGCGCGGCGGCAAAATCGCAGATTCAGGCGGTTTTCGCGGCAGTTGAAGCTAGGGAAGTGTATATCCGACCATGGGGAAGGGGATCGACCCTTGGGGAGCTGAAACGTCATCGGAAAATGGTGAAATCTCGCCTGGAAGACGAAAAGTCACGGTGGTGGAAGGCAAAGGGTCGCGGCGTGATGGTTCTCGGTGGTGGTTTGTCGTGGTTTTGACGGGATGATGATGAGCTGTGCGCGAGGGAGACGAAACGTCGCCGGAGGTCGCCGGAAATGGAAGACGAAGGGTCGCCAGAAATGGAAGACGAAGGGTCACCGGAAAAGATGATGAACAGCGCCCCTGGTTCACGTGACTTTTCGTTTCTTTTATAGAACAAATTGCAAAATATCCCTTTGGTCCCTGCATGATTGAAACAAAAATAGAAGAGTACTTTATAGATTTTATAAAAGTGGATGATACTTCTGGTCAAGGCCTTTTTAATGTTCTCATAAGTATATTAAAAAATCTTGAACTTGATGTAAATAATGTGAGAGGACAAGGATATGATAATGGGTCTAATATGAAAGATAAACATCAAGGTGTGCAAAAAAGATTATTATATATAAATTCTAGAGTATTTTATACACCATGTGGTTGTCATAGTCTTAATTTAGTTCTTTGTGATATGGCTAATTCATGTGCTAATGCTATTACATTTTTTAGAGTGACACAACGTATATACGCATTATTTCCTTCTTCTACAAAACGATGGAAAATTTTGCAAGATCATGTTTCTAATTTGACACTTAAGCCATTATCACAAACACGTTGGAAAAGTCGTGTTGAAAGTGTTAAAGCAATAAAATTTCAAGCTCCACAAATAAGAGATGTTTTATATCAATTAGCAGAAAACTAGGAAGATTCTAAAACAAAAAGTGAAGCTATTTCTTTAGTAACGTATGAGATTGAAAATTTGAATTTCTATAGGCATGAATATTTGGTATGAAATGTTTATTGCTGTTAATATGGTTAGTAAATATTTACAATCTAAAAATAATGACATTGTTGTACAACAGATCAGTTGAAAGGTCTGTTCATTTTAAAAAAAATATAGAGAAAAGGGTTACATCTTCTATGATTTCTACTAAAGAGATTGTAGAGCAAATGAATATAGAACCAAAATTTCATGAAAAAAGTATAATAAAGAGAAAAAAACAATTTGATGAGAATGAAACGAAGAGATGAAAGTCTGCTGAAGAATCTTTTAGAATAAATTATTTCACATATTAGTTGATCATGCATTTCCTCACTTCAAATAGGTTTGAACATTTGAAATATATAGTAATAATTTGGTTTTATTATAAATATAGAAAAGTAAAATTGCTTGATGAGTAGTTTGCGAAACATTGTTTAAATCTTGAAAACTTTTAAAACATGACATGCTCTCTGATATTGAGGTTTAGATTATATTCAAAATTAAAAGTTTAAAAGAAATTATAAACGTGGAAATTAAAACACCACTTGAAATACTAGATTTTATAAAACATGTAAATTCTTTTCCAAATGCATGGATAGCTTATAGAATACTGTTAACTATTCATGTCACTGTAGCTTCAACAGAAAGAAGTTTTTCAAAATTAAAGTTAATAAAATCTTATTTGCGTTTAACTATGTCACAAGAAAGATTAGGTAATTTAGCTATATTATTAATTGAAAAAGATTTGGTTTCTAAACTTGAATAAAAAATTTAATAGTGATTTTTCATCTCAAAAGGCAAGAAAAATAAATTTGAAATAATTTTATAATATATACTTATATTATTAGAAGGCCCCTAAAGCAACTCTTGCTAGGGTCACAAATGTTCTTGAGACGGCCGAATATAACAAACGTATCAGTGCACGAAATGCTGGTTTTCTTTTGCTTCTAGTCTCCGATTATTTGGCAACATTTTGCTAAGCACAAACAAAGCTTAATTCCGTTCGCTTACTTCTTTAACAGTTGCATAATTAATAAGCAATCCTCCCTTCCATTTGTTACTCCAAATTTCATAGAAACCAAAGAAAAGGTCCTGTTCCTCGTCACCTTAATTATCTGGAATTTTAACGATGAACTTTTCTTCAGGCTTAGGAATATCAAATGTCTTATCATTTGGAGTCTGCTCCAGTGGCTTAATCTTTTTCCATATGGATTTTCCCTTTGCCCCAATCTTAGCCATCAGAAAAAGTGGGAGGCCATTCCACCCAAAGCCGTCAGCTTTCAAAGTTATGTTGAACTCTATTTCATATGACTTCCCCCTTTTTACTTTTGTTTTACCGGTTACCTGAAGCCAACACACCTTAGATAGCTCTGCCGGTTCTTTTGACCTGTACAGTGAATAATATGCAGGATTTTTCAGATTTATAGATATTATACACTACTGTGAATAATATGCAGGCTTTTCAGATTTATAGATATTATACACTACTGTAAGAAGAAAACTCTGATAAACCATGCTTGAATTACCAAGTCATAAATACCTTTAACTTTACTTCTCACTGTTAAATCAATAAAAAATAACAGTTCATAAGGAATATCAAAAAATTAAATAAATAATATAAGTCACAATACCCTGATCATATATATATTGGATTTTAATAATTAGAGAAAGGGGGATTTTCTTACGTTTTATCTGGTAAACTCCAGTAACTTTGGTTGTCGCCCCATGTAATTTCAAGCTTTCCAGGGTAGATCTTATAATCCTGTACATTTCAAAATTAGTTCTCACTTTCATCATATATATTTCTCAACATGCAACCTAAACTCAACATTTAGGTTATAAATTTAATTATACTTGGCATCCTTTCATCTAAATATCATCATTCTCCAATCAAATCAAGATTCACTAAGCCATATAATTACCTCCACCCGAAAAAAGAAAAAAAGAAAAAAAAAAGAACCATATATAATCTAAGTTAAACATGTATCAAATAAAATTCTTTCATCTAAGCATATTTAAAAAAAAAAAAAAAAAAATGATGCTCAACAGATATAGAACTTTATAATATATGAATAAATAAATTAAGTTATGTTAGACCTTGTCTTCTTCTGTTATCTCTGTTTTTTCTGGCTTCTTTTCTTCTGCTCCTTTGTCACCCTCTGGTTGTTTTTCTAGCTGCTTGAGACAAATTGAAAATCAAAATTTTCTTTCAAACCTTTAAGGCTGTCCCGAAAATAATCTAAAATAATTTGATTTTTTATTTTGATGCATCCTTTAAAATGAATTCTTTATTACTTTTTGAGAATAAAACTCTATAATGAGAGAAAAAAGGGTTGTGTATAGTTTACTGGAAAAATATTAATATAATTTTTTATTAATATTATTTAAAGGTTTAAAAATCTAATTAATACTTCTTAAATAATAATACAATTTTTTTTCTAATTTTGATGAAAGAATCTTAAAAGTAGAGAACCTTTTGGTAAGTGCCTAACCCTGAGTCCCTGACAGCATTCATCGTTAGTGAAAAAAAAAAAAAAAAAAAAAGGACTACTCTCACTTTAATATATGGTAAATTTATAATAAACTACAAAATTGTTAATCAAACAATACCAGAGCAGGGGTCGGCTCGTGGGATGATTCACCTTTTGGCTGTTAAGAAATAGAAGAAAAAAATTAAGAAGGAATTAATTTGTTTTTAAGTAAATAATAGATAATTTAATGGTTGAACAATATCTGGGTAAAGGATCCGATTCTATTAATTTGCTGTTATGGAATTAAAAAAAATAAATAAAAAAATAACCATAATTTGTTGATAACCGTTTTGAGCAGATCTCATGTGATGTGATTACACCCACCTACAGTAGCTAGGCATATATAAAGCCCAACCAGCTCGCTATATCAAGCCAACATCGAGCCCCTGCCAACTCAGTAGTCAGTATATTGTCATGGGATTGGCACCTATGACCTATCTGCAGCGGCTAAGCATAAATCCCTACTAACTCAGTATATCGAGCCCGTGCCAACTCTGTTTATCCTTCGATTTTCAACACCTCAACCAAAAATACCGATAGTTCTTACACATATATTTGTGTGGGTTTTGAAGAAGTTAAAGAAATATATATTATACAGTAGATTTGGTTAAAAACAGTTATATCGATCGGATCTAATCGGTCATACGTCATTCTGATGACTATCGACTATCTTTTTGGATGATTGTAATGTTTTAGTTAATTTTTAAACTTTTATTATACGAGTGTTTAACTAAATTAAAAAATATAAGAGGTTAAAAAAATAATCTAAACATTTTTAGAAACTATATCAAACAATTATTCTATCTTAAAAAACTTTTTAAAAAAATATACCAAATAACTATTTAGCATTTTATAAAACTCTAATATAATTTTCAGATGTTTTACTAAACACATTTTAAGACTCTAATCCTATTCGATTTAATCGAATTTTAACTCAACTCAATTTAAAACGCGTTTTTAGAATAATATGTTTCAAATAATCTATCAAATAGGTTCAATATACTTCTAAAAACTCATATAGCTAATATATTTCAAAAATAATTTTTGATACAATCCTCTAATCTCAATATTAAGGTAAAATAAATAAAAAAAATAAAAAAACTCAACATGTGAGACAAATTGTTGCAGTAATATTTTTTTTTTAATTAAAAAGAAAAGAGCCCTTGAATCCCAGATCCAAGAATTCTAAGACTCAACATGTATATCATAAATTTTATAAAATATTTCATAAATATTATAATAGTTTTTAATTTTATCCTAATATCATTATGCTCCAATCAAACCAAGATTCAGTATCCTTTACAATTTCCACAAAATAATAATAATAATAATAATAATCTTAGTTAATCAAAACAAAAACTTTTATGAGAATTTAACATATATATATGTATGCGCCAGAGAGAGAGAAAGAGAGAGCACCTTTTGTTCATCTTCTTGACCCATCATTTTGAAAATAATCATCTTCTGTCAATCATCGAGGCTTGATTTATACAACTTTTCAGGAAAACTACGTACGTTAAGGTCCATGAGTTTTGGAAAATTAACATTTCACTCCTTAATAAAATCTCGTATGCCCTTTCACCAAACCCCAGAGTTGTCAGCCCGTTTACAGCTGTCATGTCCTTGTCTCTGCTCAAACTCATTTTTCTCCCTCAATGAGACATATTCATGTTAGAAATAGATTTTATTTTTAAAATTGAAATTTTTTATATTTTTTGTTGTTAAATGTGAAAAAAAAAATTATTTAAGTAATTAATTCTTAAATTCATTTATTTTGTTGAAACAGGAAAGAAAAATATAATAACTTGAAATGCTTTTAAATAGTTACATAATAAAGTATTATAAAAATATTATTAATTATTTTTATATGTTAAAAGTTTTATGTAAATATTAAAGTACACCAAGGATTAAATTGTCTTCTTAATCAATTTACATTAACTAGCAAAATTGACTTGTCTCATTCCAACAGTTGACGAGGAGACAAAGGACGCTGAACATTGTTTTATTTAAGACATATTTTTTTTGTAAGAGTCTGCAAAAGAACTGACCATAATCGAAACCAGAAACGGCAGATACTTAGAGTTTCAACTTCGATTCCTACTCGAAACTAACCCTCACAAGATACGTTCTAATTCTAGAAATCAGGAATCGATTGGTTCTGATTCTGGTTCCAGTTTCGATTTTACCCCTACAAGAATCAAGAACTAGAATTAGAATCAAAACTGAGATCTGGGTACCCAGATAAAAATTGAGACTGAATTATAATTTTTATAAACCATTGGAGGTGTATTTCTAATTTTTAGAGGGTTTGTTTGTTATTTTTTAAAAAATATAGGATAATTTAAATTAACTTGAATATCTGGAATTGAAAACGAAACTTATATTTCAGAAACCAGATACTGCCATTGCCTGGTAGCGGGCCCTTAATAACTATCGAGGAATAATTACGTTGACCCACTGGTTTCTCTGTCGACATGGGTAGGAAGTAGTCATAAAAGCAAAGCATTGTGTAAAACGTTGACCAAAAGAAATTATAAAGTATAAACTACACAAATTATTATAATTTATGACTTTACTCAACACAAAAATCAAGTACATTTTTTATTCTTCTTTTTTTTTTTTTTTTTTGCATAGCCCCAACACTATCTAATATGACATATCATTTAATACGAGAGTTTTGAGCTGTAATTTGATAAAATGAGTATTACTCTTTTTTCTAACAATAATATGACTACTTATATTTTAACATCACACTTATAATTGAGAAATCACTCACTTATTTCTTAAGCTTTTGATATTTCTTACGCTTTTGGTAATTCTGATACTAATGTCTAATTAATCAAATCAATTAAACTATTATGCATACACAATTATTGCTCTGACGCAACAAATCGTGAAGCAAGATAAATTTTCTATTGGAAATTAAATGCTATACAACTGTCCCATATCAAGCCCTTAATAACTATTCAAGAATAAATACGATGACCCACTTATTTATTTGTCAGCTTGGTTAGGAAGTAATAATAAAAGTAAAGCGATCGTGTAAAACGTGGACCAAAAGAAATTATAAACTACGTAAATTATTATATATAATTTCACTCAATATAACACTCATTGCATATTTTGTCTTTCCAATATATAGCACAAATAATTTTTTTTTTTAACAAAATCTTTTTTTATAAAAAAATTCAATAAACAAATATATGAAACATATCAATTTAGTTTAAAATTATACGATCAATTTAAAACAAATCAATTTATATATTTGAATTTATACGAAAAGTTTATACATATAATATTACTAATAATAGATAAATAATACTAAATAAACAAACTCACACGTACAACTTAACGTGTGTATATATATATATTACATAAATTGATTTATTGTGCCCTCGTCATCCCACGTCTCATATCCCATTACTATTTCAACAACCATGTCAATGTCCAACTTAACATCTGAGTTAGTTGGCGCACCCCACTCCATTAAAAAGCAAAAACCCATATGAACAGAACACATTAATTTCTTGTCCTATCGTGCATGCTCTTGATTCTAACACTACAACCGGAGTGCATTTGTTGGAGATAATGTTAGATTATTGAGATCAGGTTAGATTACTGAGATAATGTCATCTTACATTACTTGATTATTATGTTTAATTGTTAAATAATATAAGATTTCTATAATCTTCCAATACCAATTGTAATTATTATTGGTAATATTGAAAGTAATATAATTACCTCCATTTTTTTAAATATTATAAAATTACTTGATAATCTTATTTTTGTTATAATTTTACTCCTTATTAATAAAATTTTTAGACAATAATGCTCTTGTTTTAAAATCAATTTACATTAATATACCATTATAATTTTACCTTTGTTTAATTAAGTTTTTGGACGATAATACCCTTATATTTAAAACAAATTACAGACCATCACCACCACCTAGACACCACCGTCGATAGTCAGCCAACCACCGTCAACCATCACTGTCAAAAATTATCGAGAGTGGTTGAGAGTTGCTGGGAGTCGATGATATGGTCGTTTTTTACCATATTGATGGCCAAAAACAGCCATATCGGCAACTTCCGGTGACGTCGCAATTTCCAGGGACCTCCGGCGACTCCAGCCGACAGCATATGTTGGTGGCTACTTTTGTTTTAACATCACACTATCTAATATGACATATTATTTTAATATGAGAGTTTTGAGCTGTAATTTGATAAAATGAGTATTACTCTTTTTTTTTAACAATAATGTTATATATAAAAACGTAGAATCCCAATTTCAAATACCAATTAATATGATTACTTATGTTTTAACATCACAGTTATAATTGAGAGATCAGTAACTTATTTCTTAAGCTTTTAATAATCTAATTAATCACATCAATTAAAATATTATGCATATACAATTATTACTCTGACGCAATAAATCGTGAAGCAAGATAAATTTTATATAGGAAATTAAAAAATAATGCTAGCCTTACTCCCGTTTCTTACTTCTTTCTCTTACTCACTTATGTTAATCTCACTTCTTACTCTCTTCTCTCTCTTTTTATACCTACCTACTACATGAGTGAGTAAGAGAAAAGGTATAAGAAGAGTGAATAAAACTAACATTACTCGAAATTAAATGTTATACAACTACCCTGTACCGAGCCCTTAATAACTATTCAAAAATAAATAGGATGACCCACTTATTTATTTGTCAACTTGGGTAGGAAGTAATAATAAAAGCAAAGCGATTCTGTAAAACGTGGACTAAAAGAAATTACAAACTACATCAATACAAAGGTCAATACATATTTTTTCTTTTTAATATATTGCACAAATAATTGTTTTTATTTAAAAAAAACAAAATCCTTTTATAAAAAACTTTAATAAAAAAAGAAAAAATTATATAAAACATATCAATTTAGTTAAAATTATCCAATCATCCTAAAAAAAATTGATCTATATGTCTAAATTTTTATAAAAAGTTTGTAGATATAATATTATTAAAGTGATTGGATAACTTAAATTATAATTTATATATAAAATTTGCATTTATAATATTTTTCATACATGAAATGATCTATTATGCCCTCATTATTGCACATCTCATATCCTATTACTATTTCAACAACCATGTCAATTTCCAAGTTAACATATGAGGAATAATGTTACATGCACTAATCAAAACCATACTAACTCAAGTACTAATTGACGTGACAGACCTCTCTTCTTGCCACGTTAATTCCCCTCAAAAACTTAAAAAAAAAAAAAATTTCAAAATTTCAATTGTTAGTACTTAGATTAGAATAATTTGGTTAGTGTACATAATATTACTCAACATCAAGTTAGTTGGCGCACCCCACTTCATTAAAAAGCTAAAAAACCAATCTAAACAAAACACCTTAATTCTCCATCCTATCATGATTCATGCACGCTCTTGATTCTAACACTACAATTAGCGTTTAATAATATGTTGGATTAATAAATAAAATCTTAAAAACATTAAATAACTGTAAAAGAATCTTTAATAAATACTGCAGGTGTAATACAAAAAGAAGCAGTAAGAGGGTAAAATAAGGCAAAGGATAAAAAACCTCCACCCTTTCTCCTTTCAAAACCTTTTTCCTCACATCTTCGCGCCATGGAAGCTGCCACACTCAAACCCAAATCCTCTTCATCTCCCCGCGCCATGAAGAATTGCCAAAACGGGTCTTTTTTTTTTTCCTCTCTTAATTAAGAGTACTCTATCATCTTTCCAATTTACACCTTCATCCAATAAATTTCGTTCGGTATATGATTACTGTATATATGTTAATTATTGCCCCGAGGAAAGAATCATGAGAAAGATACATGACGGCTTCATTTTCTGTAGGAAACAGAAAATGAAGCCTGCACTGGGCCCTTAATAAATGTTCAGGAATAATTTGGTTGACCCACTAATTTATTTGTAAACCTGGCTATTAAAAACAAAACAATCATGTAAAATGTGGACTAAAGGAAGAGTTCCGTGTGTCATGAGTCATGACCTTATTGTGCAACGTCGTGATAAGAGCAACAAGTGTGCAGAAGCCAGAAGGTACAAGATTGAAAGGTTTCACGAAACATTGACGTGACATATGAAGGTTTACCGCTTCTCAAGTGTGATCTTGGAGTGATGCATGGATCCTTTCACCGCGTTGAAACTCTAAGCCCATGACACGCAGCCTCTCTGTTTTTGACACAAATCTTGAAACATCGAGTTAGCTACTGCAACCCTGCATGAGCCAAAATTCATATTGGGCTTGACGAGGTCCAATCGCAACAATAATGAAAGACGGCCCAGAGTCTTGGCCCACACTTAGAACACCTTGGGAACCACTTGTTTTATGAGTTGGGTCATCCCCCGAGTTAACTTGAACTAGGTCCAGCCCATTTGCCTGCAGTAGTCTATAAGAAGGATCAGAA